CTGCAGTACCCCCCGCCCCGCTCCCCCCTTGCCCGCGGTACCCCCCCGCCCCGCTCCCCCCTCGGAGCTCCCGGGGTAGATCTCTCAAAATAACACCTACTCGCGTTATCGCGACTCGTGTCGGATTACAACGCGCACAAGCATCGAACGATCGGCATGCGACCCGTCGACGTTACCCCCGCGATCGCCGAAAGACTCTTGGCTACGGTGTACAGCGCGATAAAGATCGCGGATCCAGCAAAGTTCAAAGCAGGCGACTCGGTACGTGTCAGCAAATACAAGACAATTTTCGAGAAGGGTTACACGCCGAATTAGACCACCGAGATGTTTAAGATCGTTAAAGTGCAGCGTACCAATCCTGTAACCTATCTACTCGAGGACTATCATGGACAATCCGTCGCTGGAGCGTTCTACGAGCACGAGTTGCATCGCGCGACTTATCCTGACGTGTATCTCGTGGAGAAAGTACTGCGCAGGAAAGGTGACGAGGTTTACGTGAAATGGCTGGGATTCGATGGATTGCACAACTCTTGGATACACAAGGACAATGTGATTTAATTCGTGCAGATTGTATTTTTAAAACATATGAAAAAACTAAACTATGTAAAAAAATATTAAATACAAAGTATCCAATATATAAAAATATATAATAAAAAAATATTTAAAATATAAAATACAAAAATGTGTGATTAATATTTCTTCCATTAATATATTCCTTCCATTAATATCTACATATATATATATAAGTCACGTCTGTCCGTCTGTCTGTCTGTACGCGAACTACTCATTCGTTAGTGGACCGAATTTTTACCAAAAGTATATGAAACAGGGGTAGAATTTTCCGGGGATGAAAATGTCGCGGCCATTTTTTTGCTACCGATTTCCTGGAAAACGATTTTTCTAATTCTTCTAATTTTTTGTAGAATTTTTCGGGGAGTGCTATAAAGTGTATAATTTTTCGTTACCGATCTTTTTGGAAGTCGGTTACAAAATTTTTTCAATTTTTCGGAAATTAATTGACCGAATCTTAAAGAATTATATGAAGTAGGGGTAAAATTTCCCGGGATTGCCATAAAGTGTATAATTTTTCGTTACCGATTTTTGGGGAAATCGGTATCAGAAAATTTTCCAATTTTTCGGAAATTAATTGACCGAATCTCAAACAATTATATATGAAGTAAAGGTAGAATTTTCTGGGGAGTGATATAAAGTGTATTATTTTTTGTTACCGATCTTTTTGGAAACCGGTTACAAAATTTTTCCAATTTCTCAAAAAATAATTGAATCTTAAAGAATTACATATGAAATAAAGGTAGAATTTCCCCGAAATTGCTATAAAGTGTATAATTTTTTGTTACCGATTTTTTTGGGAACCGGGTACAAATTTTTTGAAATCTTTTGGGAATTAATTGACTAAATCTTAAAGAATTATATATGAAATAGGAATCAAAATTTTTTTAATTTTTGGAGGATAAGTTTATTTTTTTATTAATGGATAATTTTTCATTATGGACGTTCACCGGCAAAATCGTTTTCTTAGAAATTTTCTTAAACTTTCAGTATATGTTTAATTAAACGCGTTTTATACGTAGGCGTTTTATTTAATGCCCCTTGCGGTATTAAAATTTGAGATATTCAGCTTGAAAGTTCCGATTTTTAACACGGGATCCTTATGTTGAGTTCTCTCGACACGGAAATTTTAATGAATAATAAGTACAATTTTTTTAGAATTTTTTTGAAAAATTAGTATAAGATGCCTCATATTATTAGTAACGTGTGACAATAAAGTTCGATATAGCAAACGCTTTTTATTTTTGAGAAATAGTCGTCTAAAGAACACTATCGGACATAATTTTTGTCTGCTCGGAGGCAGGGAGAGGGAGAGATCACTGCGAGACTTGGCAACGTTGTTACCGCTGCGACATATAGGTTAAGTAGAGAACGTCAAGATCTTATGGACAACGTTATTTAAATCAAGTTATTTAATCTTTTTTTTTTATGATTCATTATTATTTACTTTTAGAATAAACAAGTAAGACGTACTTATTTATGATTGGTATTGGAGAAATGGAAACGGAACAAAAATTTTCCAGATCGAGTAAAGCTGCGCGGCTAGACGAGTTTCAGACTCTTGCGCACGGAAGTAGTTGTCAACCATATTATTACTCCGTGAGTCTGAGTTGAGCACAACTGCCACCGGAGAACGTCCTTAAGAATTGATTTTCTTGAAACCAGTGCCAAAATTTTTCTAATTTTTTGATGATTTCGAAAAAAGAAAATAAAATGGAAGAAAATAAAAAAGAGTTAATAATGGTGGGTCAACGGTGAGTGAAAACGCGCGAGGCACGAGCAAAAATAAAATTTAAAGACTTTAATATAAGGGATTACATTTTTGAAATATTTGACAATATGCTAATCTGCATCTATTATATTATCTATTATTTTTTATATTTTAAAAAAGAATTCGAAGAGGTGTAGGTTAAAGTTTGAGGAGAAAGAATATCAAAGGTGCTCCTAATTAATGAGTGAGCTTGGGGAGAGGGGAATAGATTTTGAGCCCGCGCGAAGCGCGGGCGAAAAATCTAGTAATACATACGTTACATTACATACATACATATGTACATACATGCATATATACATACATAAATTATATTACATATATTGCATACATTGCATACATTGCATACATTGCATACGTTACATACATTAATCTTTATGTTTAATAGCTATCATTTCTTTCACGCGGGCACTTTGCAAGAGGCGTTTCCTGCCATATGGCGTAATCACCTTCACTGTTCCTAGGTACTATGAAGTCAACCCTTTTCCACAGCTTCTTGAGTTTATCGCAAAACGCCTCTAAGTTCTCAGCGTTCATGTTACGACATCTCTTTGGAATTTTCATCGAAACTCTACTCATATACATTTCGATCTGTTACCGAAAGCTATTATTGTTCGTATCCACAGTTCTTCCCGCACACATGGGCTTCCGATCCCCCTTCGCAGAGGATACGTCGCCAAATTCCAGCGAGCGTCCTCCTTCAACGCGACCGCCCTAACACCATATAAGTTCCGCGATAGAGGTTCGCGACGATGAACATCACCGTCCGATTCCGATATAATTTTGTCACAATCTTAAAGATTCTTTTGCAGCAGTTAGATCACATTATTGTAGGGGGAAGAATAATGTACTACTACTCGTTACTTCTTTTCGAGATTAACACACTTTCTTCTTCTTGTGCTTCCTTTTTTTCTTCCCGCCAACTGCCTACTGCCTACTCTTTTTACTTCCGCGCTACCAACCTAACATTTTACGATTCTCGACTCTTCTGCCATGCCAACTTAGCATTCTTCAATCCTACCAACTCCTTACCAACATAATGCTCACAACTTGGCCATTCTGACATTAGCCCGGCCTCGGGCTTACCAGGATATACATATAATAACTTTGCTTAAAATACTTAACACTAACTCAAAACGCTTACATCTATTCTTATACGGATAGACAAATCATTATTCAGACGGAAACCACATATGGTCTCAAATTCGCTGCTTCCCATGTACCCATATACGGCTTCTGAGTTATTTGGTGTCCTTCGATATCCTTAACTACATACCGATCATTGCGCAACTTTTTAGATATTTTGTACGGGCCTTTGTAGGTCGGAATCAGCTTTTTAGATACACCCGCGTTACTTTTGAAATTTCGCACCATCACACGATCTCCTACTTCATACTGATGCGGCTCTTTTCTTTTGCGATCAAAGTGATCTTTGGCATACTTTTGACTAGTTTCAATTTTTTCCGCAGCGGTATCTCTAATCTTACTTAAATCTAAATTTCTATCATTTACATCATTTTCAATATATGTATATTCTCTTACATAGTCAGTCACTTTACCACGCTGTGTAACTCCAAACAGCAATTTACTCGGAATCTCTTTGATAGTTTTGTGTATAGTATTATTTAAAGCATATTTGATTTCTTCTAACATTTTGTATCAGTGGTCACCCACCGAACTATCACTTATCTTTGCCAACATTGGAGTCACAACGCGATTTACACGCTCAATTTGTCCATTAGCTTGAGGGGAACCGGTCGCTATCTTAACATGCTTTATATCATTTTCTACAACAAATTTCTGCAACAAACTCACTGAATTCACTAGATGTGAACGCTGTTCCCCTATCTGAGACGATAACACTTGGTTTACTGTAATACGCAAAATACTGAGAAAAACAGACAATAACTTCTTTACTAGTAGTAGACTTAGTAGCATATAGTTTTACAAACTTAGTAAACAATTCAATTACTAAAAATATATACTGCTTAAACAAACGTTGCTCTACTGGACCATAATGGTCAATGTGTAACGTTGCAAAAGGAACATTCCCCTTTGGGATACAATGCAGAAATCCCTCCACTTTACCGCTACTCGGTGAGAATGCTATACATTTAAGGCAATTTTGTATGTGATTCTCTATCTTTCTCTTCATATTTGGGAATCAATAGCTGCTTTTAATAATACTTCTTACTTTATCTAATCCTAAATGACCCATACTATCGTGGTATCTATATATCACATAGATTCCATACTCTCAGGAACATAAAACAACACGCCGTCTCCCATCTTTCGATATACAATACCATTTCTTAGCTCAAAATTGCGATCCTCCTTTTTCTCTAACTGTTCACGCAACTCTTTGATTTTAGCATCTTGACTTTGACAAACCGATAGATTAAACTCGAAGGAATTTTCTTCCGCTATAAGAACATTAGTTACTCTACTTAAAGCATCTACATGTTTCATTTTATCTCCACTTCGATGTTCAATAGTATAATCATAGTTTTGCAGTTCCAATGCCCATCTGGCAATTCGAGGGTTCAAATCTTTCTTATCTAGAGTAAGTTTTAACGCGTTACAATATGTAATTATCTTGAATTTTATGCCAAACAAATAATTGCGAAAACGTCTTAGCGCATAAATAATAGCCAAAGTTTCCAGCTCGAAACTGTGGTACTTACTCTCCATGTCGGTCGTAAGCTTCAAAAAATAAAAAATAGGATGTAACTTACGGTCCGCTTTCTTTTGTAATAACACTGCTCCAAATCCTATAGAAGTTGCATCGCAGTGCAACTCTGTACTATCTTTAGCATTATACAGCCAATACAGGAGCTCTGACTAGCGCATCTTTCAAATCATTGAAAGACTTAAATTCTTGTTTTCCCATCTAAAAAATAGCATCCTTTTTTAGTAAGTCATACAATGGCTTCGCTCTAATCGAAAAGTTCTCTATATATTTGCGAAAATAAGAGCAAAGACCAACAAAAGAGTGAACCTTATGGACATCGCGAGGTATCGGGAAATTTACTACCCCTTGCACACCAGCTTTAGTCGGTCTTATGCCTTCGTTACTTACTGCATATCCTAAATAATCTACACTAGTATATAAAAACTTACACTTGTCTAATCTAAGTACAAGATGATTTTCGTTCAATATTTCAAAAACTTGACTTAACACTCGTATGTGATCTTCTAAAGTTACCGTAGCTATTATCAC